CACACACACACACACACACACACACACACACACACACACACACACACACACACACACACACACGCTCCAGGCACTTATTCAGTGCAGTTTTCCTTGACTGGTGGACCAATTTGCGCATGATTGATTGTCAGCTTTAAGCCCCGGTGAACGAACGACTTCCACAACACTCTTCAGGCTCATCGCAGTGACAGAGGAGGCTGAATGTTTACCCTGCCAAATAGTTCCCAGGACCCCTGCGTATGGTCGAGGGAATTTCTCTGTGAATTTCTGTAAGCAGGAAATGAGGAGAGGTCAAGGGCCGCGGCGTCTGCAACAACCGTGACTCTTCCGAGATGCGCTGAGAGGAAGGAATGTTAGAAACAGAGGAAGAAAGCGACCTTTAACTTTCTTTGTTTCATTTTTTTGTGGATGCATTACTTGACAAAGGTGGCATTCTGCTCAGGTGTCAAACAGCTGAGAAAACAGCTGGCTGGGTGCTGCCAGCTGCTGAAAGAAAGCTTGAGTTATATTTGTGCACAATAAGGGGGGTGAAAAAACATATTTCCTCTAAAAGAAGATTGGAAACAGATTAGTAATGCTTTCTGCAGAGTAGAAGCCACTTGGTTTAATATCCATTCATTCTTCATTGACAAGTAAAGCAGTTATTACAGCAGCTTTTCTAAATGACTATTTTTGCTGAATACTCACCTCAAACCAGAGCTTCGCGGATGGGACTGCGATCCACGATCATCCATGACCAAACTCAGTGGTTTAACATAATCCTTGGGACTAGTTAAACACAAACAGAGAGAACAATTCATTTTCAGGGCGACCTATCACACTTGTTGTGACAAAGACTAACAATTAAGCCGCTGCTTTCAAGCGACACAAGAGGAAAAAAAGAGGCAAAAATCCAAAATGTGGGCGAATCCCACATGAGGTCACCAGTTTAACCATTTCTTCTGTTTCTCTGCGGGAAATGACTTGCTGTTTAATCGTCATACCTTACCGTGAATCCAGGTGTGGTTTGAAGCAGTTGTCAACTTCCATCAGGAGGAAGAAAGGAAGAAGTCAAACAGGTTTGATTTGGACTCATCCGTGCTCAATCCAGTGCGCTTTATCCTCCTTTCTCCTCCCTTTGAGGGCTCCTTCCGGTCAGAAACGCATTATTTATTCTCCTGACACTGTAGTCAACCGCACTGTGTCAACTTTCATATGTAACATCACAACACTACACTTACATCGCAACGCTGAGCTAGAAAAAAAAAAAAAAGATTTGGGCGGTTCTCCAGTTCCTCCTCACTGTTCCCAAAGGATCGTTTACTTTTGTCTAAAATTACTTTTTTTTAAACACATATGATAATAACTCACCATGAAACTCCACGTGTTACACAAAATGTTTATCGGTTTAACATAAAATAAACTGCAATTCGTCAAAACACAACAACGTTGTTGTTGAATTCTGCTGCTGCGGTTGTGTTTGTCTACAGCGCCATCTGGTGGCTGAATGTAAACACAGCATCTGCTTCACTGAGAGGTCTTCGATTTAAATTGCAAAACATTTAACATTCCATATTAACTAACCAGAGATGTCAAGTAATGAAGTACAAATACTTTGTAACCTTACTTAAGTATAAATTATGATTATTTATACTTTGCTGGAGTAATTATTTTCAGCCTACTTTTTACTTCTACTTCTTACATTTTTATGCAATCATTTGTACTTTCTACTCCTTACTTTTTAAAAATGCAAAAAAGTATTTCATTTCTATTTCACTTTGGCTTGTTTTCATTCTGCCTTGTCATCGTACGAGATGACACGGTGGCTCAGTTGATAAAGCTGTTGCCTTTCAGCAAGAAGGTCGTTGGTTCACATCCCAGCCTGAGGACCTTTCTGGGTAGAGTTTGCATGTTCTCTCTCAGGCCATGGGGTGGCTCACTGTGCACCCACCACTACTGAACTTCTCTGGTGTTTTCATGCACCTTAGGGCCCACTCTTGCAGAAAATACATGCTAACAGAAAAAAAAAAAGTTGGGTCTCACTGCCCCCCAGGGACCACTTTTCCATTGTGACCACCAGTTAGGGGTACAGGAAACCAAGTTTTAYTTGTATTGCTTAGCTCTTTAATTTAAATGACATTTCATTAAACACACATGCAAACAATGATGTCATCAGGGTGTCAAAATATCACAATATCAACAGAAGATGAACATTTTCATCTTTTATCTCAGTTTACCACACAGATCCTACATATTCCAGAACCACTTATTCAGGGGGAAAAAAGCCTATTAACAATACACTAGGTTAATGGTTCATAGCCTCAGGGGAATCCCAAAATCTTCAACATTATRTAAGCCTTTATTTTACCATGTAAACCATCATTTACAATGATAACCTGGTCAAGTCAATATGGTCTTGAGAACAAGGCTTTTTTTGGGAGGTGGTTGTGCACTATAGATCACTTTGGCATGGCCTAAGCTTTTGTCCTTTGTTTTTTTATTTTATTTTGACCATTACTTTTACTTTTATTCTTTTAAGTAGTTTTACAACTAATACTTTTATACTTTTACTTGAGTAAAAAGCTTGAGTCGATACTTATACTTTTAAAAAAAGTATTTTTAAACTTTAGCATCTATACTTTTCCCTGAGTAATGAATGGGAATACTTTTGACACCTCTGATATTAACTAATGT